GAAAGAAAGAAAGAAAGAAAGAAAGAAAGAAAGAAAGAAAGAAAGTAGAATTCTATTAGGGGAATCTATAGCAGACCGTGGCTAGTTCTTGACTTACAACAATTCATTTAGTGAGTGTTCGAAGTTACAATGGCACCGAAAAAAGTGACTTATGGTGAATCATTTTTCACACTTAACGACCGTGATGGCCACGTAATCAAAAGGCTTAGACTAGAAGACTTCCGACATCCCTCCCAATTCTGTAATTCCTGCTGGAAAGCATTGGCATTTGGAGCAGGGAAGATGTCGGTGGGGCATCAAGTGAGTTTCTCAACAACCAGGGTTTTGCCTGTGGCACTGCAGTGGGGGGGGGGGTGTGTTGGGGGGGGGGGGGAAATGCAGAAAAAGAAAGAGAGGGAATGTACTCCCCACTCCCCGAAAGGCTGAAACTCAAGGGAGGAAGGGAGCAGCGTGTGCCAGGTCCCAGGGCTGGCTAGCAAGATCTCAACCCATCATTAAAGAGGAGATTGCAAAACACAACTTGCTATTTCATGGTGTATTCTGGATTTTTTTTTTTGGCCAAAACACACAATTGGGGGTATTTGGTGGGATTGCAAGATCTTTGAATGGTGGAGAAAGAGGAGAAGTTACAGGGCAACAGAAGGGAGGCAGAAGAGACGGTGCCTACGTCCTATGTAAGCAGTGTAAATCTGTCATTTCTTCCCAAACCAGGAATCAGTGATTTTCCCTCCTGCACAACGAACCCTCCTTGGAGGGTTCACTTAGAGTCTTGGACTTGGTGTCAGCTGGAAGCTGTGACTTGGCCGTTGAATTAACATAGAGTGGTGGTTTTTCAAAGTTGGGAATTTTTAAGGTGGGTGGACTTCAACTCCCAGAATTCCCCAGCCAGCCTTGCTAGAGTATTTTTATTTTATTTTTAAAATTTGCAGTCATCCATCTCACTGCAAGGCAAATACTGCAAAGCTCCACATTTAAGACGAGGTGAATCTTTTAATCGCCCCAAAGCGATTCACAATCTCTAAATCAAACAGGGAAATGTAAATCTGACTTCAAATTAACTACAAATCTGATTCAGTTTGCAGTTTCGAGACGTGCCAGGAAGTGGGTTTGAAAAGTTCTGGGATTCCTGATTTTGGGTTTTTTTTTTTTCTCTCTTGCAGATCAACAAGCTGTGTGGTCCTTCCCAGCAGAGGCAGCACCGATCAGCGTGGAATCCCGAAGACCATGTTGCTGAGCAGGGGATGAAGGGTACCACTCTGGTGGAACCCCAAGAAACCTTATCCGGTCGAAAGAGGTGAGTTCACAGTCTGGACTTTGTGGTGGTGAACACAACCCACACAGGTAGTTCTTGGCTTACAACCCACAACAGCACTGATTTAAACAACCAGGTCAAAATTTGTGGGCTCGGCACCCGGCATATAAATCTTGAGGGTCCCATGATCACCAGTGGGGACTTTCTCAGCCAGCTTCTGCACAAGCAAAGTCAACCACGAGCCTGGATTCACTTAATGTCCATGCTGATTTGCTCAAAGACTGTGTCATGTCCTTTGTAGAGTTGGACTCTGAGGGGGAGGAGGAACAGCCGACAGGGAGTGGAGGTGTGGCTCCGGAGGTTGTGGAGGAGGCTGGGGAAGGGTAGAGACCGGCTGGGAAGTCAGAGGAAGAACCAGGCTCATCCCCTCTTCATCCTAGGACACACAGCGAGGAACGGAGAAGGAAACAACTTGGCTTGCGAGAGAGGAAGCGGCCATGATCCCCCTCATTGGTTGCAGCTGGGCAGAATAATATATAAGAAAGACGGTTACAACACAGCATTGCTAGAAGCAATGCGTGTTTTATTTTGGGCTGAGATTATCTTGGCTGGCATCCTTCCAACAGATTGTGCCTTGTTATCTCCTTGAAGTTGGTAATTACTTATCCTGGTCCGTTGTGGAAATTTCTTCATTGTAGTTTGTTTGGTTTTTTATTTCACCTCTATCTCATTATCATTAAGTTCGGACTGTATTCCTTTCTTTTGAAGACTATTTTTGAGTACGTTTTACCTCCAACTGAGAATTATTGAACAGTGGGGCCAAGTTGGAGGCATTAAAGGGCAAAAAAAAAGGTCATAAAACCCGCCACGACTCACTTAACAACTGCCTTGCTTAGCAATGAAAACTCTGCTCCCAATGGTTGTCTTAAGTCAAAGACTTCCTGCATCTGATTTTTTTGGTGTGATGTTGACAGTTGAGGCCCTGACCGCTCGGTGGCTGGCTGAGCAGGTCGTCCCTCTCCAAAATCATCTGAAAATAAATGAAGAAATTTAATTACAGGCTGTATCTGCCCCCTGGTGCAGTGGCCCAGAAGGAGCTCTCGCCTCTCAATCAGGAGGCTGTGAGTTCGATCCTGGGTAGAAGCTGACATTTCTCTCTCTGAGCGCGATGAGAATGTATCTGCTGAACAAAACTCCTCATTGGTGACAAGAAAGGCATCCGGCCAGTAAACACTCAGATCCATTCAGTTGCCCAGATTCCACCCCGCAAGGGATTATGGGGTCATTACATGAAGATGATGATCTGCCCTCTGGTGACATAACAGTGGACTTTCTTGTTCACTTGCGCACCCAAAGTCAGGCCATCTGGGGCTCCTAAGACTCTGGGATGAACGTCGTCGTTCCTGTTTGGACGGGAAGAGGGTTCCCCCCCCCCCCCGTGTCACCTGGTTTGTTGCTAGGCCAGAAACAGACAGACATGCCGAAGTAGGCATTGTGCAGCCTGGGTCTGTAATTAAAGCAGCGTTTTTGTGGCCTTCCAGCTTGGAACGAATATAGCAGGAGAGGCATTTAAACGGTCAGAGAATGTGATCATTAGTGTCAGAAGTTCTTGGGGGGAAACAAAAGCTGCAATTTTCAGCTCAGAAACCCACCCTGTCTTCCTCTCCTCTCCGTCCCTCCTCCCCAAGTTTCGGTGGGTAAGATGCTTATTTCGCTTTCTTTCTTTCTTTCTTTTTTTCCTGGAAAAGATCCTGGCTAATAGCAGAGTAGCAGATTCTGTGATTTGATTGATGATGTGGGACGCATCTTCCCAGCCCATCTGTGTTTTAAGTGGCAGTTTGAAAGAGAAGTTTTTTTTCCAGCCCATCACGGCTTGAGGGAGGTGCCTCCAGAAGGGTTCCATCTGGTTAACGCTGCTAGGATTAAAAAAAAAACACCCCTCAACTGAAATTCTGCTGGAAAATAGGATTGTGCGTTATCAGAAAATACACATTTGAGTTGTAGTTTTCAGCAGCAAAGGGGTGTGTGTGTGTGTGTCCAGATTTGAAATAGCAGAAACCCCCTGGGCATTGGAGTGACTTGTCTTGAAGATAAAACTTTAAGCAAAGGTGTCCAACCTTGGCAACTGTTAAGACTTCTGGATTTCACAACTCCCAGAATTCCCCAGTTTGGCCCAAAGGTTATCAAATCGGACACGTCCATGTGGCGACTTGCTTACTGACCACAAGAAGTTACGGCCCTAATTCTGGGTTCAACTACAGTCTTAAGCGAGGAAAACCTGTATGACGATAAGGAGAAACCTACACGGTTTATTGAAAGAGAGAGAGAGAGAGAGAGGAGAAGGAAAAAAGCATTGCAAAGGCTGGTGGTTATTTTTCCCGGTTCTTGTACGACACACAACTAATCTGTATAATAGTTTACTTCATAGGGAAGGAGGTTTACTACCTCGGATTAGTCTGCTGGAATAAACAACAGAAGCACAGAGCAGGCAGCAGAAGCAGAAGGGGAGGCAGTTGTGGCAAAAATCCTGTGGGTGAAGAAAGGAATGGAGTGTCTATTTGTGCACGCGTGTGTTTGCACGCACCATTTCTATGCTTGCAAAAAAAAAAAAAAAACTGTAAAAATGGTCCTTGCAGCCCTTAACCAGAATGAATGAAGTTGCTTTGCTGGAATATTTCCCCCCTCTTTGCATCCTAAACACATCCCGACTTCGAGGCGCAATGTTGGTTTCATGTTTCTATGAAAAGTGGCTGTCCTTATCTGGCCCCTCATTTGCATGCTGGGTTGATTAGATCCCGGTTAGTTGCTGGCTTCGTCCTGAGCACCCTCTCCTGGCTGCCAATGTGCACCTGAGAATGCATTTGCAAATGCACAGAGCCTGCTGCGGCTGCTTCCCACGAGGCCAAGACCTTCTTTTATTTATTTCTGAGATTTATGGGTTCCCTGATAGCTAATCGTTGTCAGGAGGTTGTGCTACATAAGCATAAAAATTCGGTCTCCCAGGAATAGAATGCAACAAAGCTATCAGATTGGTTTTTCTCCTTCTGTAAAAAGGCAGCCCAAGCTGAAGGGCTAAAAGGAAACACAAAACACACACACACACACACACACACACACACGCACACACACTGTCATCAATGTCATCGCTGTGAAAATGAGAAATGGAGCAAAGGTTACTAAAGGGAAGATTAAAAAACATGATTTTTTGGATGGGCGATTCTACAATTTGTATAATTGTTTACTTTCCTTTGGTGGATGATTTCACAATTTAGATTGTAGAAGTTAACCTTCTTGGGTAGGAATAGGCAGAGCAGGATGGCTGCTTTCGTGGACTCATTATGTACAGTAGTCCTTGACTTAGAACCATTCATTTAGTGGCTGTTTCAAGTTACGGTGGCCCTGAAAAAAAGGGACTTAGAACCAGTCATACGGTACTTAATGGCCATTGTACCATCTCCAGAGTCCCGTGAATAAAATCCAGGTGTTTGACAACCTGGGTACATTTACAATAGTTGCATTGTCCTGGGATCAGTGAATTGGTACCCCAAAGAAATGAGTGCCCCACATTTGCAAGATTTCTCCTGGATAAAATTTGCAATAATTGAGATTTTTTTAGCCGGGTGGAAATGGCGTCACTTATCTTTGGCCAATTCTCGCATGCTTTTTCTGCAAAGTGCAGCACCCAGAGAGGTAGAAAGTTCAGGAATTGCATTGATAAGCCACTAAGAAAAGTGCCTGGGGTATATGGAATCCAGTATCCTTGTAGATTCTGGGTTCCACTTTCAGGCTGTCCGCCAAAAACCCCACAGGTTGAGCGAGCTGTGGAAATCCAGTGCTGTTATATGTCTGCATGGAATCTTTCTCACTCGTTTTACTCTGCTTATTGCATTTTTTTTTATGATGCATTTTTAATTTCCTGTTGCCTTCTTTATCTGACCAGATTCCGAGTAAAATAAAATCACATAAATTGTCGGCTAAATGGATCAGTAGAGTTTATAAAGTAGCTTGTTTCATATATATGCCTGGAAGACTATATCACCCAGAAGAGTTATTGTTTAAGATATTGGTTGCATTGGGACAGATTAAACCCAGTTGTCTTTTTGGGGGAAAATCTGGATAAACAAGTTGCTTTCAAACTCCGGGCAGAGTTCTTCATTTCCCACAGTGCTTTAGTACCATCTAGTGGCAGAGAGCAGCATTATAGCACATCATTTGAACATGGTGTCCAGCACTCTAACTACCCTCCTTCAGTGGCTGGATTTTCCTTGAATTTTCCTTGAAATGGATTGATAAGAATTGATAAACCTAAATTACTAATGATAGTGGGAAAAGTATCTGCGCTCTTCCTTGATTGTAGAAGATTCCCGCCTTCTATTTTGTGGTCTGAGCTTGGCACTGATTTCTCAACTTTAGCCGACTTTTAAGATGGCTGAACTTCGACTCCCAGAATTCCCCAGCCAGCATGATTGGCTGGGGAATTCTGGGAGTCAAAGTCCACCCATCTCAAAAGGTTGAAAAACACAGATCTACTGTTTTCAGTTGGATGAAATGAGCTGTTATTTTAACCCACCCTCCTGTAATGCAGGACTTGGGAAGACCTACTACAAGGTCCTATGCTTTTGAGCAAAGATAAAGCAATTGTGTAGCTTTGCTTACAAGTCCCACTTTTGTGTTTTTTTTTCCTTGCAGGGAACTGGTCACCAAGCTGCGGGCCCACAGTGGCTTCTACAGCAGCTTGCCAGAATATATCTGCAGCCACAGTTCCACGGTGCACAACAACACTTTCTGCTGGAACGGACACGAAGTGGTGGAAAGGTATCTCCCTTCTCCTCTCCTTCCCCTTCCTTGAATTCCTACACTTGGCCAAACTCTCGTTTTTCTTCTGTTCCACCAACCCTTTTTCAAGTGTGCTAAGCAGGATGATCTCAGAAACGGGCACAAGCCCACCAAATGCCCAGGGTGGTCAATTGTTGATGGACATGGCAATGTTCTGAAGACAAAATGTTCGACTTTCTGCATCTTGGGAGTCTCTGGGGCATCCAGGAAGAGCTAACAGGAGATGGAATTGAATTTGGGGGTCCTTTTTTCTCTCTCCTACGTCTGAGGTTCAAGGGGAAGTTACTGTCTGTCTGGCCTGCTGGCTGGAGAATTCTGGAAGTTGAAATCCACAGAGGGCATCAACTGAATCTCAATCAGGGGCTGTTAGATCTGGTCTGCCAACATCTGGATCACAATCAACTGGCAGCAAATAGACATAAAACATCCACCTCTGGAGAGGCTCATAATTGGATAGTTTATTATGCCTTTGGAAATAAAAAAATTGTAAGAACACTTAAGTTCTGAAAAATTATTTTATATTAAAAAATAATGAAGGATTAAACCATTCAGCCTTTGGTCATTGTTGGATGCTTGAGAAGCAAATTGATTAAAGTTACAATTAGCAAATTACCAAGTAGCTTTTTTTTTTCCAAGTAGCTTTCTTCCTTTTTTTTTACCAAGTAGCTTTCTTCCTCCTAAAGTCTGTGGATTCCTGGAACTTCAGCAAAGTGAACTTTTAAGTTAGTGCAAAAGGAAGAAAATTTGCACCCACTGTTTTTCCTCCGCTGCCTGGTTGTTGTTTTTTTTTGGGGGGGGGGGTAGTTAGCTTGGGGGTGTGCACAAGTGTGATTGTAGCAGGACACTAAAACGTGCCTTTTGCCATGCAACAAGGCAGTGATTCCAGCAGATGGCACCCCAAGAACAGCTGCCCGGCCTCAAGACCTTAGCTGAGTTCAAAGCTTGCACCCTCCTTCACCCCCCCCCCCTTGTCCCTCCCCCTCCAGGTTTCACCAACACCTTTTCTAGATTCTTCAGGCCTTTTCAAGACTTCGCTGCATTCCTTTCCCCCACCCCATTTCCACTCCCTTCTCTGGTTTCTCCTGCCCTGCCATCCAAGGTCTTCCTTCTCCAAGGTCTGCAGAACCTCATGGCTTACTCTTGGTCCACCCACTGCTGGGTGAATTGGAGGGACAGGCGGGGAGGCTACGGAGGATGGATTGTGAAGTCCAGCACTGACTTCAGAAGACCGTCCTGGAGTCGAAATATTTTCAGCTCCGCCTAAGGGACACCAAACCTTCCCAGAGTCCAAGAATCCAGAAAGGATCCAGCTTCAAATCCCAGGAAAGAATCCAGATTGAAGCTGACAGTTTGGCTCTGCTTCAGCACTCACCTGGGCACTCCCCATGGCACCAGGTTCAGGCGAACGCAGAGTGAAATGCAGGGATTGTCTTTGTGCCCTGATTTTTTTTGGGGGGGTCTTCCCTTTGCAGATACAGCCACCCACCCACAAGGAATGGAGGCCGATCTCAGTCGGGGCAGCATGAAGCGAAGGCCAGGGGTCCTGAGCCGGTCATCAGCCAGATCATTGACAAGCTGAAGCACATAAACCAGGTGTGTGTGTGGGGGGGGGGGTTGGAGGCGGGAGGTGGGACAGGTGGTTGAGTTGGGGTTACCCAGGCCAGGGAGAAGGGGCTGGGTTGGGCTGGCACATGGGGCTAAGCAGTTATGGGGTGTCCCATCCCGACTGCAGATTAACATGCAATTGAGGTTTGAAACCACTGTTCATGGTTTAGCATTCTGTAGGTTCATTTTCCTTCCTCCCTCCCTCCCTCAATTTTCTTTCCTTTCCTTCCTTCCTTCTTCCCTCCCTCCCTCCCTTTCTCAATTTCCTTCCCTCCCTTCCTCCTTCCCTCCCTTTCCTTCCTTCCTTCCCTCCTTTCCTTCTTCCCTCCCTCCCTCCCTTCCTCAATTTCCTTCCCTCCCTTCCTTCCTCAATTTCCTTCCCTCCCCTCTTTCCTTCCTTCCTTCCCTCCTTCCTTCCCTTCTTCCCTCCCTCCCTTCCTCAATTTCCCTCCCTCCCTTCTTTCCTCCCTCCCTCAATTTCCTTCCTTCCCTCCCTCCCTTCCCCCATCAATTCATGGAGGAGATCCCAGTGAAAAAGTTGAAACTAAAACATGTGGGGAGCTGGAGAAGACTAGGAGAGATTGAAAGCCATCTGGTTTGACCTGGAGTTGGGGGCTTTTTCTGCAGATCTAATCTCTAAATGGTTTTATTAACGATTATGTCCAGCATAACTCCTGCCTATGAAGGATGAAGGTCTCCAGCTCCAGACCCGCTTGATAATAAGGGGCCATGCATTTCTTTCCAAATTGGGAGGAGAAAAAAAACAACCCTCCCTAATTACCCGCCTTGGAGAAAGCCATTATAATAACCCTGAAAAAGCGATTTGGGGGGAGGGGCAAGGTTTTATTCCTTTATTTCTAAGCGTGAAGAGAGATAAATGGGGCTGGAGAGCAGAGGGGGGAGATGAGGAGAAGGAGGAGGGGGGTTAAAGGAGGGAGATCAAACACCCGTCTCCCTAATTTGCAATTCATAAGTCATTTCCAGGGAGGGCTTTGCAGAAAAGGTGGAATTGAGAGGAGGGGGATAGAGGTGAGCCGCTGGGTGGGAAATGCTCCCCCCACCCCACCCCAGAGGTTACACACAAATGAAACTTGGGAAATATTTCAAGCCCTCCACATTAGGACAGATCTTGGAGGGGTCAGCCAAACCCACCCACGTCCTTATTTGCAAGACGGGTCCTTTCGCTTTTCTGGGCTCTTCCAAGGTGCTAGCCTGCCCCTCTTGAATTGCCCCACACTGGAAGGGGAGGATGGGGAAAGCAACAGGGTGAAGAAAAGGAGGAATCTAGCGGTCTTGGGAAGCTGATAAGATGCGGCTCTGCCCAAATTCCAGGTCTGCCTGTCACTTTAATTCATTGTGTTAACTGACGGGGCTTTTGTAAGATCCCTTCTTCCAACAACAGCAGCAGCCAGAAAAGCCAATGCAATCCTAAATTGCATTAATGGAGGGATTCAGTCGAGATCCAGGGAGGTACTAATACCACTCTAAAAAGCTTTAGTAAGGCCACACCTAAAGTTCTGCGTCCAGTTTTGGTCACCACACTATAAAAAAGATGTTGTTGAGACTCTAAAAAAAGTACAGAAAAGAGCAACCGGGTTGATTTGGGGACTGGAGGCTAAAACACATGAAGAACGGTTACAGGAACTGGGCCTGGCTAGTCTAGGGAAGAGAAGGACCAGGGGAGACAGGATAGCAGCCTTCCAATGTTTGAGGGGCTGCCACAGAGAGGAAGAAGGGATCAAGTTATTTTCCAAGGCACCTTTGAAGGTCAAACAAGGAATAATGGATGGAAACTGAACAAGGTGAGATTCAACCAGGAAATAAGGAGAAACTTTCTGACAGGGAGAACAACCAACCGATGGAACGGAAGTTGCCTTCGGAAGTTGTGGGAGCTTCATCCCTGGAGGCTTTCGAGAAGAGACTGGACTGCCATTTCTCAGAAATGGTGTAGGGTCTCCCGCTTGGGCAGGGGGTTGGACTAGATGACCTACAAGGTCCCTTCCAACTCTGTAAAACTGTTATCTGTTGACTTCTGACAACTTCTGGAATCCTCTAGTCATCCTTGTGCCTTTTGAATGTCACAAACGTTGTGTTGTTTTAAGGAGGAGTAAGAGAGGCTGTGAAGATTCTACAGGTTGATGGTGTGAAGGATGAAGGTTGTAACCCTTAGCCTGATCAAGTTTCTGGATTTGTGATCTGGTCCTGAAACGATTCTTCTGCTTACTTGTGTTCTTCTCCTGATGGGTGGAGAGCTGCCCTTCTCTTGAGTCCATACCCTGGCTCTATAATCTTGTGGTTTTTAGGTGCTGTGTGTGAAGTCTCCCCTTTTGGGTTGATTGTGGCTTGTTAATTACCTTACGGTTTCTCCACACTTTTAACACAAGGGGAATGTGCTGTGTTGGGGAGAGTGAAGATCCGTGAAGTGAGTGAAAAACCTTTGGTCTGAACCCACTCCAGAACCCAATGCGGGCCAAGCTGGATCTTAGGTTGCGATTTTGCATCCAGGGACCCTTTCAGGCCTAGAATGCTGGTGTCTCTAATTTATCATAGTTAAACTTATTCTGCTTTCCTTAATTCACATGTCAAGCAGCTTCTCTTCTTGCAGCCCAAAGGCTAGTCTCTCCGAAAGCCTATCCAAATATCCGTTTATAGCAATAGCACGTAGACTTATATACCACTTCATAGTGTTTTATAGCCCTCTCTAAGTGGTTTACAGAGTCAGCCTCTTGCCCCCAACAATGTAGGTCCTCATTTTACCCACCTCGAAAGGACAGAAGGCTGAGTCAACCTTGAGCTAATGGAAATCAAACTGCTGGCAGTGGGCAGAGTTATCCTGCAATACTGACTTCTAACCACTGGGAAGGAAGGAAGGGAGGGAGGGAGGGAGGAAGGAAGGGAGGAAGGAAGGGGAAGAGGGAGAGAGGAAGGAAGGAAAGAAGGGAGGAAGGAAGGAAGGAAGGAAGGAAGGAAGGGAGGAAGGAAGGAAGGAAGGAAGGAAGAGCAACGGCAATAGCACTTAGACTTATATACCACTTCACAGTGCTTTACAGCTCTCTCTAAGTGGTTTATAGAGTCAGCATGTTGCCCTCAACAATCTGGGTCCTCATTTTACCCACCTCGGAAGGACGAAAGGCTGAGTCAACCTCGAGCCGGGTGAGATTCAAACTGCCAAATTGCAGGCAGCCGGCAGTCAGCAGAAGTATAGCCTGCAGTACTGCGCTCTGACCACTGCACCACTGCAGCTATTACGTTCCTTGGGAAGGGAAGATCAAAAAGAGAAGGTTGAGCTTCTCCCATCTCGACCGGGAATGAGCTGAGCTGAACTTGGTCTGCAGCTCCAAAATGTTGGGTAGAGGACTCTGCTTGGTTAAATTTCTATTTCTCTGAGATAGGAAAGCCTATGGCCTCTGTTGTCCTTCTCCCCCACCCCCCAGCCCTCTTTTTGCCAGCTGTCCAGGCAGACTGGCATTTAATCAACACCTTGGCATCCCCTCTTGGATTTCAAAGGGAGCAGGCCTCTCTTTGAGGAGCCCACCACATGTGGGGGGCATTTATCAACCTAACAGGAGTGTGTCAAATGCAAACAAGAAAAAAAGGAAACGGGGGTTGTGCAACACACGGCAGCAATTAACCAAATTTGTTTATTGAGACACCGAGTCATCTCACAGACTGAGGGTTAACCCAGATGGCTTCCACATCACCGCCCTGCTGCCAGGGCTTGTGCAAAAGAGCACATGCCAGATATCCTAACTGGGAAACATGGTTTAGGGCTTTAAGGGTTGTGGGAGCTCAGCAATTACGGTTTGTCCCAGAGGTCTCCAAACTTGGCCACGTTAAGACTTTTGGACTTCAACTCCTAGACTTCCTCAGCCACCTTGGCTGAGAGTTGAAGTCCACAAGTCTTAACGTGGCCAAGTTTGGGGACCCCTGGTTTATCCGATCAGTCATGGTCCTAAAAAATATGATGCATGAACTGATCCAGCACACAACCAAGCAGAGCCTTCCCACGTATGATTGTGTGGTCCCTTTCAGAAGATTTTTTTTTAAAAAAAATCACAATTCCCATGTTTGTTTCCCAGCTTGGGAATTGTGGTAGATGGAGAGACATCCAATTCTGGCAAATGAGCAAGAAGATGCTAGCCAGAGAAACAACCCATACCCGTTGTTTTTTTCTCCCCCCGAGGTCCTCAGATGGAAGGAGATGCACGAGAAGGAGAAGCAAATGAATGGAAGATGAGGGAGAACTCCCATCTTCTCTGGCTTGTTCTCTTCCACCTCTCCACCCTCCCTTCCGTCCCTTCTTTTCCCATCCCCCCTTCAATTCTGGGTGTTGTTTCAGCTGGGAAGTCCTTTATCAACTTTTCCCAACCTTCTAAGCTTGATTGATGTTCCAAAGTTCTGGAAAAGTATGTGAAACATCTCCGTTGCAGACCTTGGAATGTCTCCCTTTATTAAATTCCTTTCACTCATGCAGACTCAATTAAAGGAGACCGTTTCATGGCTCAAAAGAATAGAAAATCCTAATTCAGAGCTATCTAGCTATCTCTGCCTTGTCTCTGACCAATTTCAAACCAAGTCCCCTCTTTCAGAAGAGGCTCTTTTGAAATTCTCCTTCATCACTCAACCATTAAAGTCACCATTGGCTGGTTTTGTTTTATGTTTAATGTTTGATGTATGTATGTATGTATGTATGTATGTATGTATGCAAAAACAACAGTTAATTACAAGTAGGAGGCGGTTGGAAGGGCCTATTATGCATGCAAGGGCTAAATTGATTAATGATATATAAAGGCATAGATCTCTGTAATGGTAGCTTAATACTCTGACGATGCCAGCAGAGGCTGACGAAAGGTTAGTAAGTATAATAAATATAATTTTAGTTCCGGAGATCGCAAGATGTCTGTTTCTTCTCTTACAAGTATACCTGGAACTCGTGTTTTTAGAATAGTTTGTAATATTGCACTGAGCTGGAATCTTATTTGGGTTTTTGTTTTTTTTGGTGGCTTGTAAACCATGGTGCTTGGATTTGCAACAAAGGTGAACCAGTGCATGTAAACATAGTTAAAAAATAACTATAGCAAGATATGTGGACTTTGTCTACGGGGCTCTGTAAGCCATGATTTGGGCTTCGTGTGATAGTGCCTGAGTTCAGCAACATCCAGCAAACCTTGGTTTAAGAAAGCGATACTTTCACAGTGCTGTAAGGGTAGTGTGTCGGACATTTCCTGGCCAATTTCTGCCACCCACAATGCCCTACACTCAGAGGCCATCTGATAAATGTCACAAATCTGGCATCCCTAAACTCACCTGTCATCTCAGGTAAGCCAAACATCATCTAGATCAGGGGTCTCCAACTTTGGCCACTTTCAGCCTGGCGGACTTCAACTCTCAGAATTCCCCAGCTCTGGCTGGGGGATTCTGGGAGTTGAAGTTGGCCAGACTTAAAAGTGGCCAAGGTTGGAGACCCCCGATGTAGATGTTTGGAGTTGCCGTGTCTTGAAGTGGATTGGGAGGGTGGGAAGGTCCTCCCTTCAACCTAAAAGGAGGTCTCCCTGCTGATGGGGAGAAAGCTGCGTGTGTGTTCTGTGCGATGACACCCCCCACACACACACAAATCCTGCCAGGACTTGGCTGGTTTGCTTCTAGAGTTGTGTCATCTGCCTGTCCCTCCACTGTTTTTTGGGGGGGTTGGCAACGGGAGGAGCGCTAACTTTGCCACTTAAACTCTTGCAGCTGCGTAAACGGTCATTAGGCTGGAACCTGCTTAGTGAGCCCTTCGGCCTGCTGATTGTGGCCTTCTCCGGGGGCCCCGCCTCGTCCCACAGAAGGACGCTCAGTCAAAACTGCAGCCAACACCCCCCCCCCATGGTCGCAGTTATTTAAAACCAGAGAAGCCATCAGAGGTGGGTCTGTGTGGGAAGAGAGGAATCCAGAGGGTTGTTTCAAAGGAGCTGGGTGTTGCTTGTGGGTCCAGCTCTTGTGTCTACGTAAAAACAGCCAGGGGTTAAGGCACCAAGGCAGAAAGCAGGAGGCGGTGAGTGCTAGTTCTGTCTTATCATGAAAGTCAGCTGGTTGATTTTGGGCCAGTCCTTCTCTGTCTCGGTCCATCCTACCAGTGGTGGGATTCAATTTTTTTTACTAAGACTTGGCTTGGTGGGTGTGGCAAGGAAAGGATACTGCTAAATCCCCCTTCCCTCCCCACCCCACTAACCTGCTCCATTCTCCTGTGCAGGGCAACCAAAGAAGACCCAGCCGATCAGCTGGGACTCGGTGGGAGGCAGAAAATAGATGGGGACGGAACCAGTCAGAGGTGGCCTTGGCTGGTTCTCCAAACTACTCAAAATTTCCACTACCGGTTCTCCAGAACCTGTGCGAACTGGCTGAATACCACCTCTGCATCCGACCTCACAGGGCTGTTGTTATGGGGAAAATAGGAGGAGGAAGTTGTGTGGGATATGTTTGCCGCGTTGAGTTAAAATAATAAAGGCGAGGTACCCAAAAAAATTAAAGAAAAAATAAAATTCTTTCTCTTGGTGCTCTGGGACCCTTTTGGAGAAAAATAAATTTAGGAGCATCCTGAATTTCTGACTGGCCTCGGACTAGAGAAGTCCTTCTCTGAAGCCATTCCCTCTTTTTTATTATTATTATTATTATTATTATTATTATTATTATTATTATTATTATTATT